TCCCACTAGCCGCAGCAGCGGTGACGATGTTTTCTCTTTCTATCTGCATTGTGACCGCAGGCAAAATGCATGCAAATAATTTCAATTAGGACGAACTTTGGAACTAAACACAGAATTTTCTCTCGACTTCTGCAGAAAATGTACCCAGTACACACAACCCATGAAAGTTGTTGTGTAGTTATTCTGCTGTAAACAAGAACAAAAGAATTGCATGAACTTTTACGGGATCCAAGGAATGTTACACATATATCTGATGTGGCACTGTGAGAGATGAGAAAAAAAAGCAAAGTGCTAGGATCCCTGCAACGAGCAAAGATAGGGGACAAATGGATGTAGCTTAAAAATATAGGAATGACATTCTTTTGATTCAAACCGGGTGACACACGTATACATTGTGTACCTGTATGCAATTCATGTATTGACATTCAAATGTAGAAAGCAACGAGAAAAATGAAATGAAAATAATGGGAATTTATTTTCGAAAGAAAAACACAAATGAATGAGACAGAGACAACAAAATCGAGAAACACCGGGAATGAGAGTAGAGATATGTGTATTCCGGCATCTCATATCCATGTCACATACACACATTCACTCACTCACTCACGCTGCACACACAATCGCATGCTGTTTTGTGTACACATAAATCATATCGCATGGCGTACGTACGTGTGTTTACATTTTTCCGAAATGAATACATGATGACAATGACATCGGAGATCCAATCACAACTTTCATAATCTAATTTGTAATTTAAATGGGCGAAAAGCTTTTGCCATCCACACACACACACACACACATATTCACACAAAAACTTTTTCCTCCTCGAAGCACGATGACGATGACAACGGGCAAAGTTTTCGATGTAATGCTGCTGCTGCTGCTGTTTCATGTTGTATATGCACGGTAAATTTTTCGTGCCATTGCGGCCAACTCACAACATACACACTTACAATACGCACAGTGACATCTTTGCGACGCAACCATGAATATATTTTGCGATATATGACAAAGTGAATTTGGTATTTTAAGGATGGATCCATATCATTCGACTCATTTTTTTTATTCGCTCTCGCTGTTTCACAAGCGAATGTGCGCGCTTCATCTTATTCCATACTCTACATGTTTCTCAGCGTATCTCATCGTCAACATGTATATGTTTGCACATAACATTATCTTCATCATATCAGTGGCAGTTTGTGATGTTCGCAGTTTTGGTTGACTTTCAACATTTTACCATCTAACAAAAAGATTGGACGCAGCTATATCAAATGTATATACCAATTTGATGGGAAAGAGAGAGAGAGTGAGGAAGAGGAGCAGCAGAGATAGAGTAAGAGAAAGCGAGAAAAAGATAAAGCGATAGGGTGTGAGATATGGAGAAAGGGACAAAATACGTTGTGATTCTTGTTCAGCTCTTGCGACGCTCTTCTTCTAGCTTCATCTCGTAGTCACTTACTTCTCATTTTGGACCAAAAGGAACATTACAAATAATCACGGCGAAAAGAAACTGATTTACAAGATCAAATAAAATTAGAGAGCACCAGCGAACCGATCCGTTGCTAGAGGAAAATGAACGATAGTAACGGAGATAAAAATGAGTTTGAGAGAAAGAGAGCAAGAGAGAGAGAGAGAGAGAGAAAGGGTGAAGGCAAGCGTACGAGTGTATTTGGCGTAAGTTCGATGTTTACACGTTTGGATGTTTGCCGCCGTTGCAATGCCTGCCAAAATGCGGATAATTTTATGCAGAAAATATGTAAACTGTGTGATTTTAAACGCTACCCTTTATGTACTTATGCTTTTCAGCATGTTCAATGCATCACAGTCTCGCTTATTTCGCTTTTTTTCTCTTTCTTCTTGAACTGTGTGCCTGATCTGTAACGAGAATTGTCGCTCTTGTCTCGTTTCTCTTCTCTCTGTCTCATTGCAAATGATTTTATTTCATTTTGTCGTCGCATCATCATTGCAATAACTTGAATCACTGTTTGTCAGTTAGGGTGTGCCAATTGCGCGGTGGATTTTCTTTGCGCTCAGTCTTGACGACTTGATTTTTCTGGGCGCGATGCTGCTTTTTAGAAAGCTAGAAATGAATTCTGTGGCAACATTTGCGTGCAGTTCGCACGATATGCACTCTAAGCTCGGGCACAGAGAAAAATAGAGTTGTGTGTGTCTTTATGCACTGGCAAATGGAGGAGAGAGAGAGAGCGAAAGAGAATCAGTGAAAAAACAGAATGAGAAATAGACAGAGCGAAAGAGTGCGCTTATATTGGCGTTACGTAAGGCCTTTGTGCCAAGCAATGCCGGAAATTTTTGGTTGTGTGTGCTCTAAATGAATTATAATGTTTAATTTCAACATTACCCGAAAATAAACAGTTTTGGCATTACATGCGCGCACTCGAAGAAGTTTTAGGATTTGGTTGTAATCATTATTCAAAATTCGTAAGAGGCGCTTCCATCTCTATAGCTTTCCCTCTCTTTCTATCATGTTGCAAACGACGATGCGCCAACGAATCAATGTCCTCCAATTTATCCAGCCATTGTTATTTAGTGTTTAGCGTAACGACTGGATGTGATAACAAGTCGACAGAGTGACAAAATGGATGCAACCAACGATACCGATTTTCGGCTTTTCCGACACCATTTTTGCCATAGAATCATACCACACATACACACATTTTTACCGCCACAATCACTACCTCTCGACAGAGAAAGTGTGTGTGCATGTGTGCTTAACGCAATTCGAGGCTGTGATTAAAATGAAAATCGCAAGAAATGCCTGCAATTTTCTTTGAATTGTCAAACGCTACGTGCACTTCCATTCGACAAGCCACACACACACACACACACATATCATTCGGTTGCAATCTAAGTTGCGACGGCAAACGCTTTCACTCGAAAAGAGTGAATGGGAAATTAGTTTATATGTGCAAAGTGGATGCGAATGGGTGGCAACACACATCACATGAATTTACTTGGAGCGCACAAGTTGAAATTAATCAAGTTGCCAGTACAATTCATTCACTTTATGAGTGAATTGTCAATTCGTGAGTAAACGAGCATTTCATTCCGTGCATCACATTTATGGTAAAACGCCACTGCTTCATGCATACATCACAACTGCCTTTGCCGTAATTCAAAAATCGGCTCGTACTTTTTCCTTATTCGCGCTCTGCATCTCACTCTCTAACTCTCTCTGCATCCCTCCCTCCTCTTTCCTCTCTCGGTCGCCCTCTTCCTCTCTCACACTCGCCTGTTTCACGCTGTTTCCACAGTAAAATCGCAATGATGACTATTTACTGTATCGTTTTTTCCTTCTAATTTCATCTCCTCATGATTTAAGGATTTCATTTACCACTCAAGAGTCACTTTTGCAAAACAGCACGAAACACAACTGAATCGTTCCACTTTAAAACTCCAAATGCAAACACAATTACTTTTCCCCGATGCACATTGTTGGAATCGCATGTGTATGTGTTTCGGTTACTTTTGCATTAATTTTATCGGAAGCATACGCACCCGCGCGCTATTCAACCAACGATTTGGTGAAAAAAAAAATCCCATTTACCAAAGTCATTAAAATTTGGAGTAAATATTTGTCAGGCACAGAAATATGTTACTACTTTACATCACCAGATACACACACGCACATACACTGAAATTCAACAAGTTATGAATGTTTGAATGGATGACGTAGGAAATTTGCAAAATAAAACCGGTTGGGAAATCAAACAATTTTTTTACCTCGCTCTCTTTATCTCTCTTTCTCCGTCTATGTGGCTGCAACGCTCTAATAACTCGGAGCTACGAATTCGAGATTTTATTACGTTATGACTCAAATTGAAACATTTTCAGGCTGTTGATTTGTTTGCTTAAGGCACTAGTTCCAAGAATTACAATCGTGCACGATTATAATCGAGAGCGATCGGAGTTTTTGCTATAACTTTCGAACCACAGAACGGATTTTAGCAAATTTTATATTTTTTGAAAGGTGGAATCTTCCTCTTTCAAAAAATGTGTATTTTCTCAGAATTGATTCATTGGTTCAGAAGTTATAGCAAAAATGCTGAAATACGTTCAAGATCGTGGCACGATTTGCAAATCGTGACACAATCTCAAACGATTTTCAGCATTTTTGCTATATTCGTCAAAACCACTTGGTGAATTTTGAAAAAAAAAAATACATTTTTTGAAAGAGGAAGATTCCACCTTTCAAAAAATATAAAATTTGCTAAAATCCGTTCAGTGGTTCGAAAGTTATAGCAAAAACTCCGATCGCTCTCGATTATAATCGTGCACGATTATAATTCTTGGAACTAGTGCCTTTAGGCTTTGAAATGGTTGAATGAGTATTGCACAAAGTGTTTTTTTTTCTTGGAAGCAAACAAATCATCTGGTTCATGATGATGACTTCTTTCTCTCATGCTTCATAAAATTGACGATGATACGGCGGATTTTTAACGAGGCGAGAACTGAAAGTTGTACTAAATTGGTGTAAATTATTATTATTTTAAATTGATGTAACAGTCTTGCACTCTTTTCCGGCCAAACACTTATTTAAACCTCATTATATTCAGGCAGAGCTTGGCGGTGTTAAATAAAATATAATATAAAAAATATAAATATACACAAAAATGGTCGAAAGATTCGCACAAAGGTGATATGTATAGTCTTGGATGAACAGTGTTCATTGAACACGTAACACGTTTTCGACGTTTTTGAAGTCTTCAAATTTCTATGATGAAAACTGTCGGCCAAGGAATTAATGCTGACCGTTTTTAGAATAAAGTAGCAAAAGACACACAAAGAAACTCTATTCGATGGATTTAATTTTTTTTTTATTGATATTTGATCTTTTTCAAAAGGCAAAAAATGTCAAAATTTCAAATGACTTGAAAAATTAGATTTTTAATGAATTTTTAAGCCATTTATTGATTGAACGACAATTTTTGAAGTTCATTTGTTGATTGCTAATATTTTGTTTTTGTTTTCTCTTCCCACAGACATGCTACGAAATGGAGCGATATCTAAAAGATGAGCCAAAATTGCAATCGTACAAGAAATTGCCAACAGATTTGGATTCGGCATGGGATTTATTTGCGACACCCGCTCGGTGTCGACTGCTCGAAGAATTAAACTATCATGAGCACAATTTGGATTCGCTGTCGACCAGTTCAATGTCGTCAGCGTGTTCGGGTGTATCATGGGACAGTGCATTGAGCTGTGCGGTCGTTGTGAAAAAGGAGAAAATCGAAGATGATGAAGAGAATTCCGATAGCTGTGAAGAAAAATTAGAAAATAACTTTTGTAAAATTCCCATTCAAATAAAAACCGAAATAAAAACAGAGAATGCAATTGAATTGCGACTGGTGGCCCGTGCCACAACCACATCCACCGTGGCCGATCATCATCATCCAAATGAGCTGTTGCCAACGTTAACGCCACCATCATCGCCCGAATCGCAAACAACCACCACACAAACAACGATACGACCGACCACCGAAGCGGAATTGGCATTGCTCGGGCATCAGGGCCTGTTTAAAGTGGCATCGGCCACAACAAACGGTACAAATCATCATCTCCCAAGAAGTGCCATCGTAAGACTCACGACGGCTGGCGGTAAAAATTCCGTCAGCGTCACCCGTTTCATTCAAGTCAATCCAAATATTCCAGCGGCTATTGCACCGCAACCAACACAAACACAAGCACAACGAACAACGTCAATCAATACACCAGCAGCAGGTAATTTTCTTTTCTTTTCTTTTCGAACGGCTTTTATTTTACTCTGCCATTTCTCCCCTTCTTTTATTTTACTCGACGCTAATGGGTAATTTTCATTTAATTCGCATGATTTTTCAAATTTTTGTTCGATTTATTAGTGGTTTTCAACACTTTTTCTTCGAATTGTTGGCGATCAACACTGTTCCTTTGTATTTTTGACGATTTCTAACACTGTTCCGTTAAATTTCGGGTATAACCGCTTGTTTTCGTTGCATATTTTCAGTGACGACGACCACAACAGCACAAACAAAACAGAATCACCAAAGACAACATGACCACAGTCCCGATTCAAAGCGCCGGATACACAAATGTCAATTTCTCGGATGCAAAAAAGTCTACACAAAGAGCTCACATTTGAAGGCTCATCAACGAACGCACACAGGTATGTGCCCCATTGATTTCCATTTTTTTTCGATTTTTTCTCTAAATTTGATCAAATTGGTCTTATTCGATTACTCTCAAAACATTTGAGTTTATTTTTTTCAAAAGCGATCCACTTTTGATTTCAATAGTAATTGACAGTTGACCTAAAGTTTTCCTAACTTTTTTATCAAATAAAAAAAACAACCGAAAAATTGCGTTTTTAAACAAAAGCCGTAGTTGTTGACGCACGCAAATGCCAAAAAAAGAAAACGAATATATGTGTTTTGATCACAAAACTCCGCATTGGAACCAATATTTCGCATTAAAAAATCATCGACACCAAATTTTGTTCAAAAAAATCATTGAATTCGATTTTACCCATGAAAAAGTCACCGACATACATCGTTAATTGTCTCCGAAAAGTCGAAAACCTGCTCGTTTTTGCTGAAAACCGTTCGATTTTTGCGATTGCATGCATGAAACATATGGCGTCTACGCTAGAAAGAGACAAGCACCGCTATTATGTAGAGCAATAAAAATTGACTTTAAATTTGGGATGGGATAAAGCCACAAATCATGGCACAAATGTGAAATAAGTTCGCGCGAAACAGTGTTGAGATATGGGATATTGTAGCAAAGTACAGAGAAATGAGTTGAGAACGAGCCAACGCAAAAACGTAATGCACGAAGACAAAGGAACATTTCACGTGCCTCTGATCAGCAACAGAAACAGCAACAATACCACCAACAATCGCCTCGAAAATCGTCTGAAACGACCGACATGGAAAATGGCAAATAACAACAAACAATACACATACACAAAGTGAGCGCTCACGCTCGCGCTTAAAAACGAAGCATAAAATGGAAGAAAAGACAAAAATGGCAATAGTATGAAAAGGAATTTCACTGGGAAATAAATTATGCGCGAAAATCATTTAATGCAATAATGTTTCGCGAAGAATGCAACGACAAAAGCTCAATGCGACAACACAGCAAACAACGAGACAGCGAGGCGGTGTGAGGTGGTGAATAGGGGGGTGGCAAGAACAGATGCACACGAACCGCACATATAAACATTGATTCACACTTTGCGAAAAGTCGAAGAGCAGCAGCTAGTTTGTATATATATATATATTCATTGGAATCTGTGTTGCTGTGCGGCAAAAAAAGCATTACAATGCTTTACCTCCCTCTCTCTCTCTTTCTCTTTCTATCTTTTGCATGCATTTTTCAAAGTGATGCTCGATCCAATTTTTCCGCAATCCCACCAAACAACAAACAGCAAACTCAAACGAATGGTACTTTTACTTTTTTTTCAGTAAATTCTTTCCGTCCATAATCTGTGATGCCATATCCGAGGGTTTCGTTTCTCTTGGTTCGGTTTCGCAAATCCCAGCGCATCGCTATAGTTGCAATTCTTCTCTTTTGCCTCTTGTTCACTATTTTATTATTAATCTCATTACTTTGTTGCTGTCTTGCGATCAGGCGCCCGCGCGTATATTACTTAAGGGCGGGCAGGAGAGTATGCGTGCGAACACGCTATAACTTAGTGTGAACGAGTAGACGAGTGAAAGAGTGAACGCAAAATGACATTGCATTTTTAATTTTTGCCATTGCTCGATGCGACGGGAAGGAGAGGGCACACGCACGCCGCACATTTCTCGGTGTATTCCTTCCAGCCATAAATGCCATTCCGTTGTGCTGGTGCGTTTGAGCGTGAATGTCGCCAGCCATTGCACCCATTCCAATGCTGAAGCTTCCGCGGATATTGCAATCAAAACCCCGGCTGTTGGGAAAACAACACACAGCCGGCCAACGAAAGCAAGAGCAAGACAACAAGAGTAGAATCGAGCGAACGGTTGACGGAGACACAGAACGAGTGGGAGGCACACACAGAGGGAGTATGAGTGAAACAAAAGTGCAAAATAAGCGAAACGACGAGGAAAAATGTAATTAAGAAGCATAAATGCACAGATGAATCGCTTCTTTGATGTTTTTGAAACCGTTGCTGTAACGAATAAATGCATTATTTTTGCGCACAGTCAACAGCAATAACAGCTGCCAAGTTTTTAAAACTTAATCGTTTTTTTTGCCGTTCGTATCGTTCACTTGCCACCCGCTCTTTTCACTCTTTGTTTGTGTGTCTATCTTTCCCCCCACTTCCATTTGCCTCACACACTCTCTCTCTCTCTTTCTTACTCACTTTCGTCTGTTCGTTGGCATATTCAATCTTGTTCTCGCGTCGCATAACGCACAAATTGTAAATAGTATCATATTTAATAATTGAATTTAAAATTACTTTTTGCCGTTCGCCAGCCAGCCATCCAGCCCGTTCACTTTCGGCTATATTTCTGTCGGCTGTGCCCCATCGACACGGGCAACATTGCATACAGCCACATATTGTCTGCTGTGTGTTGCGAATTTAATTGAAAAATTAGCCAGCCTGCCGTATTTGCATACGTTATGTGCGTGGCTGTGTTGCTCCCTCCTCCTGTGCATTCATTTGGAAGCGTTGGATGGTGGTTTAAGGTCAATGCCAAACGCTTCGTCGACAACCATGCTGAAATCCAAAATTGTGTGCATTTCATACGCAAATTGACGAAACCAAAAATTTAAAGGTTTACACCAGAAAAAACAAATTCGCACACGCACCTCAATCAAGATCTATGAAATCACAAATAGTGCGAAGTAGAAAAAAAACAACAACAATTTCTCGCTAAGCGTGAAACGTTTGAGGGAAAAAATGCAAATTTCAACCGCATTCTCGGAATACTATTTGTGGTGTTGGGTTTGCACTGCAAATATTCCCTTCACATTTTCACCTTCACACAAATCGACAATTTTCCGAGTGAAACCCCGAAAAAAGACACACACACATACAAAACAACCGCTAATGGCATCCAAAAACAAAACGAAACTCATAAAGATAGATAAACACAGCATACGCGCACACAATTTTCTCGCAATGCGAAATCTCTTAATGCCAAACAGACAGCATAAATGCAACATTCTCAACTGGTCTGTACTGATCGCTTTACTCATAGTCTCTCGGTTTTCGTTGTTATCGTCATATCTTTTTTCGCCCTTTTCGCTGCTCATCATTGTCATCATCGTTTCACTCTCTCCCTCTTTCTCTCTGTGTATATGTCGTTTGCACTCGTTGTCTCAATCATTTCCATCAAGCGTTCGTATCAATTTAACACTTGCTGAACAGCATGCAAACCGTCTTATGAACGGATCATACGTGTTACGAAAATGTATTGCATTCTTCTCTCTCTCTCTCTCTCTCTCTCGTTCGTTCGTTCGTTCGTTCGTTCGTTCGTGGATTTGCAAACGAGAGAGAGGTTTTTTTTTGCATCAAAGTTTGTGCTCATTTTTATTTACACCTTCTTTGCCGGTTGGTTGTAATGTCTTGCTCTTTTTTGCGCCGCCAAACAAAATACATATATCTGACAATTTAAAGTAAACTTTCAACCAGCATATCTACTTGTTCGGTTTAGCAAAATGGTCTCATGCAAATAGAGCACGACTGCGACAGCCAGAGCGGGGGGAGAGTGTGAGTGCAAAGATATTGTTGCGTTATCAACATCATAATCGTTGGACTTGTTTTGATGTTGCCGCGAGTATCATCATTGTCATAGTACGCGTTGTAATCGCTTTTTACCGCTCCCTCCCGAAAAAAAAATACAACACCATCTCATTCTGTGTGCATTTGCACGGTGATTTGCCGGCGCTCTCGCGTTTTGTTGCTTTGATTTGATGCCCCGCCATTTACATATAAATGAAAATTCCTTGCCTCGCAAATGTGCAAAAACTATGTACAAAGTTTGCATGTGTGTGTGTGTGTGTGTTTCAGGTCTGAAAAAGCGAGAAAGAGACTACACCAAACGCATCGAAGATGAGCGTAAACTATATACGAGTGTATAAAAGTGAACGTCAACGAACATGAGAAATCTTAGGGTTTTCACGAGGAAAAAGGAGTTCGTTCTTCTTCTAAAACGAATTTTAAGTTCCAAGAAAGGAAAAGAAAAAGAAGAAGACATGTTTGAAAATAACCAAATACTAGAATAGATAGGGTAAAACTATCAGATCGCTTGGTTTTTCCTGGAAATTTTCGAGAATTTCAATTTTTTACGAAAATCACAGATAATTTTTCATCATTTCATTCGAAGACATTTCGATATTGAAACTCAAACTTCTCGACTGTTGGAACGGAATGCCATTTAAACATCAGCCCATTGCAAATGAAAAAAAATTGATTTTTGCAATGAAAAGGAAAACTCCTTAAAACGATATTTCCCATGGCTGTTTCAAAGACTGCTATTGTATTTTTTGTCGTATTAATTACAGCCAGTCAGTTTGTTCATGTGCAATACTTTTTTTGATGCTTTGGTGGTTGCTTTTGGTTGTTTGAAACAACCAACAACTTGTTTCGGTCATTATTTTTGGGCTCATCAAATCCGTTTGTTTGCCTGTCACCAGCAAAAACCGCACCGGCAATCATTTTTGAACTGCATGTGCCAGAAAAAATGCGGAAAATTGCTTTTTCAAATTTTTCTCGAATTTGTTCATACGAATGTTATCAAATATTTGAAATGCACATGTACTGAAATTTTCATATCCAAAAGGGAAAAAAAATCCCAGGAAAATTCATTCAATACACTGTGTAATTTATACAGAAAAATTGTTCAGTATAAAGAAAAATAATTCGGTACAAAAAAAACAAATCGTAATTTTAGCATAAAAAGCCTAGCTTTTGTACCTGCCTAGCTTTTATTTTTCCTATTTAAATACATATATGTTTGTCTTGGCCATATTTTTGTTGGTTAACCAAACCGAGTTTTTTTGAATTAATCGGAGGCTATTTTCGATAACAATACAATCATTCATTGTTGCTGATTTGATGATTCGGTACGATTGGGCAATTGGGCTTAATACTAGAACAATCGAATATCGATTGCATGCCAATTTGAACGTATACATCGCCATGAATTAATTACAAGTTGCAATTTCAAGCAT